TCTTGTAGTGACTCACGTTTATCACGAGAACACGACTGGTTTAATAAAAACAATTATTATTACAACCAACTGTACCAGTGTTTGTTTTAATGTGCTTTTGTTTGACTGTGCTAATGACAGCTATTTTCTGCTTCCATTCTTTCGCTTACACTTCGATTGTAACTTCGCGCGAATTCGGTTACCTTCTGTAACCAAGGTTGTATCCTGGCACGATCTCGGTATCCTTTCGATGCCACGAGATCGCCAGCTAATAAACCTCGACTTGGTCCATTAACTGTCTTCTGATATTTGGCTTCTCGGGGATTTTATGGAGTCATTTGGAACGAGCTTCTTACGCCTTCTGATTTATCTGGCACGTGTTTTCTGGTAGCGGTGTTCATAGTTAATCTCAACTCGACACCACGCTACAACTGGTGAGCCGTATTTTGGAACACGCCTCAACTTCTGATCAAATCTTCCAAAGAAGCCAATTCGGTGAGTCTATGATTTATCTATCCACGTCTGTCGTATATTTTCATATTTTTAGTATATAATATACGCGACATGACGGATAACGATAAGAATAGTATTAATATAATAGACTCACACGTATGTGTACCGAATCCTTGTCACTTTTTATTCGCGTGATGATGAATTCCACGCTTTATTCGAGAAATGTTACCCTATTAACGATTCTCCTCGCTGACCCGGCTGCTTGGTACGGAATGCATACGCATAAGCATCTCCGTCTACCACCCAGCACCAAATGGTTAAGTTGAACGGTTTCACTGCCAACTTAAAAGTGTTCTACGAGCACACGAAAACGGCAACTGGCACGAAACCATACCGCTCGTTCTTTTAGGGGCGAGAACGAGCTTAAAGGCAGATAACCAATGTTCCGCCACTGAACTTGTATACGGCACGACATTGCGTCTGCCCGGAGAATTCTTCACACCACGGAGCAGACCTAATTTCGGTAAATCAGACTACGTCCATCGACTGTCTGCATTTATGCGAACGCTGCCTCCGGTGTCAACTCGAATACAACATCGACAGGTCGCTCTCCCTCGAGAGTTATCTACCTGTTCACATGTTTTTGTACAAGTAGATTCGGTACGCAAACCTTGGCAACAACCTTACGAAGGCCCTTTTCACGTGATCGCTCGTCACGAAAAGACCTTCAAGGTTGATCGATATGGACGCGTCGAGATCGTCAGCATTGATCGTCTCAAACCAGCACACGTCGATGACAGTGCCCTATCTGACACCCTGAGATTCAATGCTAGACCTATCAAACCTAGCGGGATCCTTAAATCTTCTTCAGGTCCCACGCTAGATGCATCTGAGACCTCATTCTCACGTCCCGGTCAACAGCACGCGTCATCTGCACCGTCTACGGACGAGACGACAGTCTCACGTCCAGATCAGCAGACCACGCCGCCCCTGACCTCGGATGAGATTGCAGGCTCACGCGACGCGAACGAGACTGCCGTCTCACGTTCCGGTCGCCGAGTACGATTACCCGTACGTTTCCGCGAATAGTCGCACAGTCAACAACGGATACGGTGTAGGATTATTCTTATACTACACGTATGCTACACTCTTCTCCTTTTTGATTTTCTTTTTGTTTCCTGAGCCCACGCTCTTGACCATCGCCGTTTGGTTCCGTCGACTTCAGTCAACTTTGGCGAAAGCTGGCCTGATCACCCATGCTCTTGTCAACGCACTCAGTCGATATATTGGTTTCGAACGCTTGGCACACGCTTGGTCACGAACTTGGTCGTAACGGTCGCTTCTGGTCTTTCGGCTCAACGTGGTTTCGTCCTACGTCTGCAGCGTTTCTGGTGCGCACCTCTACGAACGCCCTCTTCAGATTCTGGATACAAACCACTCTGGTGTAGCATGCCAACTCAAGCAATAAATACAACACATCGCTCCTGGTACCGTTCTCCGATAACGACCTTCGTTGGCAACTCGACGATCAACGATCGCTTTCCTGTTCGCCAATTCTTCCGTCCTACAATCGCTCATCAGCCGATCAGTCCCACGATTCAAACCGCTATTTATCGAAAGTGTAAACCCTTTCTAGCGGGGGGCTCCTGTAGTGACTCACGTTTATCACGAGAACACGACTGGTTTAATAAAAACAATTATTATTACAACCAACTGTACCAGTGTTTGTTTTAATGTGCTTTTGTTTGACTGTGCTAATGACAGCTATTTTCTGCTTCCATTCTTTCGCTTACACTTCGATTGTAACTTCGCGCGAATTCGGTTACCTTCTGTAACCAAGGTTGTATCCTGGCACGATCTCGGTATCCTTTCGATGCCACGAGATCGCCAGCTAATAAACCTCGACTTGGTCCATTAACTGTCTTCTGATATTTGGCTTCTCGGGGATTTTATGGAGTCATTTGGAACGAGCTTCTTACGCCTTCTGATTTATCTGGCACGTGTTTTCTGGTAGCGGTGTTCATAGTTAATCTCAACTCGACGCCACGCTACAGTCTACTATGTTGTACCATTAGATGAGTGTGATGGAAAGCAAGGTATAACGGATAAAACGTTATGTTCGTATTTCACTTAATAATTGAGGATCTAACGATTTTCACTTTTTATAGGGTGATTGTTAAAGATATACAGAAATTAGGAGATGGAAAACCTGAAAAATAATTGATTGTGTGGTTGGAACTAAAAGATCGATAGATCATCTTTAAGGTAATGCATTATATGATTCCAGTTCTTGATCGTTGCAAATTGTATCGATAAATTACCGCCATTCACATTTCACATACACCTTATGTAATTCTGATGATAGCTCAGTCGTTATTGCGTTTAACGTTAATTACCCATGAACTACAATCACAATTACATTAGTTCCGTTACGCGATTTTTCGGAAACCAAATCAAAATCATTCTTATGTTTACACAAACGATCATAAGGCAAGATTCTGCGATTACGAAAGCCCATTACACCGTACTAATTACATAGTTAAGAATAATAAGTAGTAACAGCCGTATGGCCTGCAGTTCAGGCTGCACTAAATTGTACTGACTCGAAATAATGAAAATGTAATTCGATACTTGATGAGGTTATCACAGTCTTTCCGTGCACGTAACACGTAGCATTATGTGGACATGATTATTGAGACATATGCATCATATCCATTCCACTGAAGGTGTTAAATAAAAACACAGTCATCCTATGGTACGAATTTTTTTACATCTTATACAGGAACATGTGTAGCATGCACTAAGCTGTGTATCCTTCACGCATGAAATCATAAGGATACGTTTAACCGTGTAATTACAGAACCTCATTACCTGAGCTATGGCTAAGTCGTACTGGCATTCATCGATAAGCAATCTCTGTTATCATATTATATGCCACTATGTTAACAGTGAATTAAATTAAATGATCATTATACTCTTTTTCGGTGCCTGTAAACTCACTTCCTACGCAATATAACTCAGTCAATACTGAAAACAATGTTGCTTGACCTCGAAATGTTTTTTTTACCAAAACTTAATAAGACTAGGTTTCGGTTGTAATTAATGTGCATTATTTTGACGTAAGTTGAAATTTATGTACTGGTATCAGCTCATTGTTACGGAAAAAGTATTTCTATTGATGAGATCAAATAGACTGACACAGAACTATTCTCATCAAGCCCTGAGGATTATGCAACATAATCATTTGAGAATAATAATCATAATGTGTTTATCGCTCACATATTATTATTACATTTTTATTGTTCATAGGAGCCAATATCATCTAATGAACACCGACCTGCTTAATAATAGTACGTGCGAACTTTACAAGATCTGAGTTAGTCGATACATGCATTTTAGACTACCTGAATGATATAATTACAAGACATGACGATAGGCTCCTTGTACCGGTCCAATACTTAGACATTAAGAAACCTTTTGATAATGTTCCACACAAGAGGCTTCTCGTCAAATAAAATTCTTTCAAAATCAGTGATTCAATATATTCATCGTTTGCTTCGTTCCTAATAAAACACAAACGAATAGTAAAGTACAACGACTATCGTCACCAAGATCAATAGCTAGTGAAGTTATTCAGTGGAATGTGTTAGGTCCAACCTTGTTTCTCATGTATATGAACGAAATATGTAGCGTCATAAAATTTGGAAGACCATAATAAAACACTGATTATCTAAAACTAGTACACTACTTCAAGCCGGAAGCTCTAAGTGTTTTTATCACCTCTAAACTACATATAACCTGATCAGTAACTTACAACTTACGCCACTAGCTAGCTCTATTGTAGTGTAATATACTAAATGAATATCTTACCCTATTTTTGATGTCCTTTTTTAATTTGATGCCAGGCACTAGGTTGCTTAATTGGAGCAGCAAGTTCAACGTAAGACTAGAACCGTGAGTTCGAGTGGAAAGCTTAGAGAATCAGTCCAGTATTATTGATTTACTGTCTTATCCTCACACATAAGCAATCTGAAACAAGTAAAACGTTCTGCCTCACAAACATGGGGAGATTGAAGTCATTCCCTCATCATTAATGCTTGTTGCTTAGTAACTCTACCCTCCCTCTTTTTGTGATGCAAAGCTCATTAAAGTTTATTTTTGGACGAAATATTACATCCTAGAAATTTTGTTGGTTGATACAGAAAGTCCCGATGTCGTTTAGGTCTTGATGACACAGACTGTACCAGATATTAGTGAAAGCAAAACACGGCGAGTGAGCTCTTTTACTGTTATACCCTACAGATTAGGCATTCGGAGTATAGATGAAATCTATTGACCTATGAGTTTCCAGTATGAGTTTTCAAAACGGTGGCATATGACTCATTTCATATAAGCAGATGTGGCGCCGGCTGAAATGTAAGGAACAAGAGACTGTACAAACCACATTACAACATGTATGGTAGACGATTTACTTCAAAATAAGATCAAGTCTTGATCAAGAAAGTTTTAAAATTTTGTTACATCCAGCTTGTTTTACCATCCGAAAGACACGCCAATCTGGAGATAGTGTTATCAGAAAAGTAGTCTGAGTATGGGTTGCTAGGACTTACTAACGCGTTAGATTTAGTGTAACTTATCATGAGGCAGCCAGATACAACTAGTGCGGTTATTCTTGTTCTGTTGTTAGTCTTTACTCGCGATGATGAACTTAGCCCACTTAAGTGACTTCCATACTAAGAAGTGATTATGTGATCATCATATAAGAGCACACATATCAGCCATAACTAGCATAATAAAGTAGGAAATATAAAAGACCACACCTAAAATCTCGATCAATAGGAAAATATATATGGGTTAGACACTAGAGCTGTGCAGCTGGCTGATGGAGCCGTTTCTATCGTGAAAGGTAACAAGCAGAAAACACAGAGTCGTCATGAGATAGATAGTCAGATGAAACACACTTTGAAACAAAGAAGAAAATGTTAGGACACCGACGACAATATTGCCACAGCATAAGCGGTGGAACTTCAAACGTTTATTCGGAATAAATATACCAATTCAAAACGTGTTGTTCGAAGAAAATACGGAAATTGGCCAATGCAAACAGCAATAATTAAAATAACCCATAGTGTCACTGAATAAGAGGAAAAGAATTCAGTGAGGAAAATGTTCTTTTCGACGAAATCATTTACTTAAGCTGTACATTCGTATATAGAGTTATATGGAAAATGTATGTCTATAGAAGGATAGAAAGGATTGCATCACAAAAAATGGATTCGACAATAAATAACAAATGAGGTTAACGTACTAATCAAGGGGTAAGGAAGAACAAAATTTATGGGTCAGATAATAGTCCAATTGATAGATATGAAGAAAAACGACAAAACAACAAAGGTTATAATAATAAGCTGAATGGTAATCAAGAAAACTTGTAAAAGGTAATAATAATAATAATAAATGATTAGAGTTTAAAGTGCAAAATAGTAATTTAGAAATATAAATAATAATAAAAGGGAAGAAAAAAATAAAACATTCCACGCAGCCAAGCTTCGAACCATCTTCTCTATCCGACCTACCATTCTGGGGTGCGTTAAGGACAAACTTTCGCTTTGGGTCACTTCAATGTGTATCTATAAATTTACTTGCTCATGTGTGGCATGTTACATAGGCCACACAAAGCGATCATTATCCAAACGCATATCGAAACATTATCCGGCCTGGCTCTTGAAAGGGGAACGAAAAACAATCACCAGTTCGATACAGGAGCATTTAATTAACTGTGGACATATCGCTCCAAAAGACTCTTCGTTTAAGATAGTTTACAGAATCAAGGGAACTGAATCGAAGAGGGTTTGAATCAATATTTTATGCACCACAGATGCATTGGCAATCCACAAACTAAAGCCTGAACATTGCGTGCAGAAACGATTTGTCCAACCTCACATCCTTCGCTGGCCCTAATTCCCTTAACGGAATGTTTCCAGGTGTTTTTTTCTGCCCTTTTATTATTATCTATATTTCTAAATTACTATTTTGCACTTTAAACTCTAATCATTTATTATTATTATTACCTTTTACAAGTTTTCTTGATTACCATTCAGCTTATTATTATAACCTTTGTTGTTTTGTCGTTTT